TAGCAGGCTCCCTGCTGAGCAAGGAGTCCAATGTGGGACCTGATCCCAGGACCCTGGGAACATGACCTGAGCTGAAGGCAGATGCTTAACCGACTTAGCCACCCAGGCATCCCAACCCTTTATTTTTAAGGTATCATTATATTGGGCTTTTGGATACATTTCATATGGATTACCTGCATCCTAACTAAGACAGACTGGTTTTTAGTTTTTCTGCCTATATTTTGGACCGCCATCTAAGAATCCACATGGCAGATGGAGAAAGTGTAGATTAGGCTGTGAGGACAGCGTCCACTCCGGGACAAATGAAGATGGCTCAGTCCCTCCCAGTGTCCCCCAGTCACCACTCTGTGCCTTGTGCTGTCTTCTGTCCAGGGCCCGGCTGGTAGAGTGGCCTCTGTCTGGAACATGCCAGATAAAGGCGGTCTTCATCTTTTTTCTGCCGTGGACTCCTGGCAATTTTGTGAAGCTTATGGACCCTTCCCAGAATGTTTTGTAAATTAAATTTAAATTTAATCCCATTAAAGTATATTTCAGTACAAGTTAAAAAAAAATGCTCCTTGAAATTCCTGAGTCAACTTTCATCAGAGTCCTTGTTTTAGAAATCAATTTTATTGAAGTATAATTCTCACACATTGGTATGTACCTGTTTTAAGTATGTTTAAGGATATGTTGTCACAAATGCATTCACCCATTTAACTTCCACAATGATCAAGATATAGAGTATTTCCAATACCCCTTATATTTATCCTGGTAAATTCCCCCTGCTCCAGGCCTAAGCAACTGCTTTCTGTGATGATATGTTAAATGCAAAATTTCTAGAGCTTTATTTATATGGAGTCATATAATATTTACTCTTTTGAGTCTGGCTTCTTTTACTCATCATACTGGACTTATCTATGTTGTTCTGTGTATCAATTTTTTTCTTTTTTATTGCTGAGCAGTATTTCATTATATGGATGTACCACCATTTATCTTTTTACTGTATGATGGATCTTAGTGTTGTTTCTAGTTTGGGGCTATTGTGAAAAAAGGTGATACCCATATTTGTACACATTAGGAGTCATTTTTTATTCCCCTACAGGCATGGGCCAGTTCTGACCACTCTTGTATCCTGTCCTGGTTCTAAGAATCTTATAGCTCTTGCTACCTACCCCTGTTCTTTGTCTGCTTGTCTGTTGACACTGGCTAGTTAGAGCTAAATCTATCCTGAATAGGAATTATCACCTTTTTAGCCTTGCTACTTCTCCTGTCCCACTTTTCAAACACGACCATAAGAAGAAAGAATTAAATATACTAGAATATTAAAGTGGAGGACAGTTGCCCTGGGCATGGAAATTTGAGGAGTAAATGGTACAGGCTTCCAAACTAGTTTTCTATTCTAGGAGAGGTAGTGGGGAAAGAACTCTGCATTTGGAGCTGGGCAGGTCTGTCTTCAAATCCCATGATGGCCACACTTTATTAGTGTGAGAATTTGGGTATATTATTTAACTTCACTGAGTTGTTGCTTTTTTCTAACCTGGAAAATGAATATAAAAGCCACTTTGCAAAATATGAGAATTCAATGCATGCATGCACTCAACAAATATATGTTGGAAACGTACATGTGCCAGGCCCTATCCTTGGTTCTGGGGATACAACAGTGAGCAAAACAGCAGAAGTTCCTGACCTCATGGAGTTTACATTCTACCAATGGAGATAATAACAAAAAAGAGAATCAAAATCTGTGTTGTTAGATGGTGGTAAGTACCACAGAGAAAGACAGAACAGGGAAGGGAGATAGAAAAGCATGTGCTTTAACTCCTTGGCTGTGAGCTGCTTAAGAGTAGAATATGATCTTTTTCCTGTATCACTAGCATTTATCATAATGTCAGCTGTATATTAAGTGCTGCACACATGTTTCTTGAATGAAAAGAGTGAATAAAAACCGGTGTTGAGGAGAGAAGTTTATCTCATGAAATCACTGTAATACTGCTTACCTGGACACATTTATGTGCTTCTAAGACAGGTAATAATTATGTCAGCAAGAACGGTGCCCTTCCCTTCTCCTTGTTCTTGCTGGTTCTGTAAGTCTCCTGGCCATTGTTATATTTTTCCTAGAAGTCAGAATGCCTTTAATGTATCCTCTTTTTAATAATATATCCTTGATCAAAAAAAAATTAACTATGTGCATTTTTTCAGGCTTTTGCTGAATAAGTAATATGGAAAACAATTTGACAAATGGTTCAGTATGTAAATTTCATATTAAGGGGCTTTGGAATTCTACAGTTTCTGGAAAACCAGCATGCATATGTTACAAATATTAAAATATTTAGGGTAATGTTCAATGTCAAGAAATAATAATAATAATATTTGGTTAACTTGGGGTAAAAAAAGTGTGCAGTGTCTTCTCTTTTTTTTTTTTAAGATTTTATTTATTTATTTGACAGAGAGCACAAGTAGGCACAGTGGCAGGCAGAGTGAGAGGGAGAAGCAGACTCCCTGCTGAGCAGGGAGCCCGATGTGGGGCTCGATTCCATGACTCTGGGATTATGACCTGAGCTGAAGGCAGAGGCTTAACCGACTGAGCCACCCAGGTGCCCCTGCAGTGTCATCTCTTACATATAAAAGATTGTGCTTTTCTTCTTTGGGCTTTTCTACATTTTTAAAACCAAACCTGCATTATTAATCATTTCCTATCCCCCAAGTTTCTATTATTTTTGAAGTATCAAAAACTGAATATAAAAGAAATGAGAAAATTATGTTTCTGTGATGGCTTGATAGATTAAAATATTTATTTAAGGTCTACAAATTTGGTGGGCTGCAGGACTGACTACAAGATAAAAGAATTAACCCAGAGAATTGGAAACAGCCTATCCCCTATGGCTGGTTTTTGTTTTTGTTTTTTTTTTTTTTTAGATTTTATTTATTTGACAGAGAGAGAACAAGGAGGGGGAGTTACAGAGGGAGAGGGAAAAGCAGGCTCCCTGCTGTGGGGAGTCTGATGTGGGGCTCAATCCCAGGACCCTGGAATCATGACCTGAGCAGAAGGCAGATGCTTAACTGAGTGAGCCACACAGGCGCCCTCTAGGGCTGTTTGATGAACAAACTAGATAATGTATGTAAAAATGCCTTCTGAATTATACTTGTATAATTACAAAGCTCAATGCCTGTACCATCCTCTACAAATTCCACCAGGGCAGGAACTTTATTTATGACTGTATCTCCAATACCCATCATAAAACATGTGTGTGATACATATTTGGTAAGTATATGAATACTTTGTTTTAGTGATAATTATTTCACAGAAGAAAACTGTATCCTCAAGTAATTTGATGGCACTACAATTCCTTCAGGTTAAAGTCTGAATTCCTGTTATTCAAGATTTACTCGAACTAGTTGACATGTACTTTTCCAGCCCAATAATATCATAAACACAACCTCTACTCGAACTCAAATATACTATCTCGTTATTGATGCCATCTTTCTTCTCTGCCCAAAGTCTTTAAAAATACCCAGCTCAAATAAAAAAGTCTTCCTTTGAACTATCTCAATACTGATTTGACTTCTCAGACTGCTAAACAAAATTTTTTAAATGTCTTACTCATTTTTGCATTTCTGTCCCCAGGGACATGGACAACCTTTTGAGTATAGTGAATATCCAGTAAATATTTGCTGATTTAACTATTTTCACAACACATCATTCGCTTACAAATTTTATTCCAATTAAGGTAAATCAATTTCCTGAAACTCTTCCCTTACTCCATATGAAGGTGCAATTATTATTCTGAGCAATCTTCAGAAAGTATACTCTGCTATAAATGCAGCCTGTCATAAAGTTACTGCAGTAATGTCCCAATGCACTAGAAAAACCGGGAACAAGGCGGTTATTTTCTAATTCAAGTAATCTGTGTCATGCCTTAATGCTTTGTTATAACTCCAGTTCCTTGGATTCCCCTGCCCGCCTCCCCCCACCATCCTGATCTTGTTCAATTAATAAGGTTGAAATAATGGCAATTGTCTTTTTGGATCTAAAATTCTAGTGCGCTTTATTCCCTAAATCATTTTATGTGTAAATTAGGTGCTTAAGAAAGCCTGTAGTACATCATCTAAAGAACTATATTTATTGCTCAGTTTATTAAAAAAAAAAAGTGCGTGGCGGGTGGAAATGCCCGGGCGTCGTTTAGTGGTGAGTGGAGCCAGGTGCAAGACTCTCAGAAATGTTTTTATGTGTCCCTGGTCAACTATCTCCACACAAAACCACGTTTATTTATTTGCGCTACTGCAGAACAGAGCTAACTCCAACGCCACTCAAAACAGCTTTGCACGGATTTAAAAATGCCTGAGCGGGCGGCTCCTGATTTTTACCATAAAACGACCCAGCTGGATCCAAAGCAGATTTGTCACCCTATTTCAGAGCCTGCCGGGAGTCGTACGAATTATGACTCTGGATTTGAGCGCAGAGCACGTATGCAAGCAAACCCACGAAGTACAGATTTGGCAACTGTGACAAAGCTTTGTTAAAACTTGCCCCTGGAGCCGCAAGGCGGGAGGGTCTGGAGGCCAGGAGCCGGCGCAGCCCGAGCGCGGGTGGTAGGGCGTAATGCCGCCTGACTTTCCCCTTTGCTTTTCCTGTCACGGTAGTACAGAAATAGCAAAGCAAGGGCGGGAAGTCACACGCCCGTATTTTTGTTGTGCGCGCGCGTGTGTGTGTGTGTGTGTGTGTGTGTGCGCGCGCGCGCCTGTTTCCCCCTGGCAAGGGAAGAGGTAAGGAGGAAGCGAGAACGACCCGAAACCCACCCCCAGGGAGTCGCCGCGCCTCTGCACCAGGGTTCGGGCGTCGTGCTCCAGCGACTTCCAGAACGCTCGCAGCAGCTGCTGCAGACCCCGCCCCCTGCCGGGGTTTCCCCGCCACCCGCGCTCATTTGCATGGCGCTTCCCCTCCCCTGCTGCCATTGGCTGGCGTTGAGCCCCGCCCACTGCCCCTCCACCACGGCAGGGTTCTGTCCCCGAGCCGCCTGGAGCTGCGGGCAGCGGGCGGACTGTTAAACCGCGGCGGCGGCCGGGGCGGGAGCGGGGCGCGCTCTGGAGACGAGTCAGCGGCGCCCCGGGTGGGGGGAGGCGGGCGGGCAGCTAGAGATCACCTCAGCAGCCCCCACCACGGCCGGACCGAAGGTGCGGCGGCGGAGGGGAGCCAGGGCGCCCCAGCAGGCGAGTGGCCGACGTCTCAGCGGCGGGCGGAGGGGGGTGGGTCTCCTCTGCCGGGGACGGCGGCAGCGCGGGGAGGGGAGAGCGGAGAAGACCGCCGGGTGGACTTGCGGGCCAGGCAGCCGAAGGGCAGCCCCTTCGCCCCCCGAATCCTGTGGGCTGTTGGACGCCGGATCCCGGCACAGGATCGCGCTCTAGGGCAGGGGTCGGACCGCAGCCAAATTTAAACGGCTAAACCTAACAGCCTTGGCAGAAGCTGAGGGGAGGGGAGAGAGGAGTGGAAGGAGGGGTGGGGGCGGACCTAGACGTGGTCACGTGGGGGCAGGGGAGGGGCTTGGCGGGCCTCCCTTTTGTTTTGGCTGGCGCGTGCGCAGACGGCAGAACACGTGGTCTGGGCCCTCCCCTTGTTTTAGCGGCCGCGCCTCGTCGGGTGCGGTTGAGGTGTCGGGTGTTTTGGGGGAGCTCTGAAGCGGAGCCGTCTGTGTTGGATGTGACCCTTGTTTACTTTTATTTTATACCTTATTTCAGGCAACGTTGATTTGGTTTTTAGAATTAGATGGGGTGGAGAAGAATCTAGAGAATTATTGAGGAATGGTGTTTACAAGTTTGTGTCTTCGTATTTCGAAGGGACCGACGTTGCTGGAAAATTTGAGGATATGTGGTCATTGGTAGCAAGAAATAGAAGGCTGTTTCTGGTCGTTAAAGGAAGAGGTTAGCTTTACATCCAAGAGGGAAGGCACTGGGATGGACCTTCTTGTCTTTCACTGTGAGAGGATTAGTTTTTAGTTGGTTCCCTGCCCGCTCTGCCGCGCAGATCCACTCCACCCTTTACCTCGGATCAGCTGTGAGGCGCGGCGCTGGGGGGTGGGGGTGTTGGAGATTGATTTTTTTTTTTTAACTGCGAGAAGCACATTCCTTTTTGATTCCCCAAACTTTAGTCAGCTGGTGAGTTTTAAGACGGTAACTTCTTTAATCTTACTCAGTTGGCTTAACTTCGTGCTGAGTTTGGTTCTGTAGGAATGTTTTTAAAATACAGGATGGGTCAGTTTTGTTAACAATTAAGCCTTAAGTGAGATATTTACCAATACTGCAGACAAAACTGTTTTTGACTAGGTAAAAGTGGCTCTAAAAATAATTCAATATTGGAGAGAAACCTGGTGTTCTGGAATGTAGATTGCTTGAAAAAGAGTTTAGCATTGAGTGGTTTCTACTGTTTCCAATTCTTAACGGGCCGTTTCCTTGGGCAAGTCACAACCCCTCTTCTCTCAATGTTTGTTTCGTCTTGTAAATAGTTTCATAATACTGTCCCTGCTTTAAGAGATTGTTATGAGAATTAAATACCTTGTGTTAGTAAAAGTAGTTTACAATCTTTACCAACACTGCAAAAATACAGAAATTGCTAAGTGACATGGTTTTATAGTAAAAGTTGTTTTTTTTTTTAAATCCAGCATACTGGAAGATTATAAACTGAATGAATCATGAAATAGGGTATATTTAAATATCTTCAAAATCTATTGTAGTAACTTATCTTTGATTCTCCCTGTTTCCACCTACTTGATCAGTGTCAGGTTACCATCATTTCTTTGTAGTTTTAATCTAGAAAGATTATCATTACTTCTCTTCCCCAGCCCTTCTAGAGTAAGTTTTTACATGAAATTTTTCTTAATCCAGGCCAATTCTATCACACTTATATTTTACATTTATCGTTTGCGTGTGTATCATATGTGCCTTTTCAAATAACAATTGCTTATTAAATAATCTTATAAAATAATTGGGAAAATAAAGACGAGTGCAAATAATACAGTTTGTATTTCTAAATATGTGTATTTGTGAATTTTTCCTATAACTGGGCTCATGTGGTATATTTTCATTTAATTCTACCTCATAAACGTTTCCATGTCATTAGTCTATGAAAAATTATATTTGGCTGCTTAAAATTACATCATGTAACTATCATATTTAAAATTTTTCCTATTGGCATATGTTTGGGATGTTTCTGTTGTTTTGCTAACAAACTTCACTACAGAGAATTGCCTTTTACTTAAATCTTTGAAATTTTTTTCCCCCTTAGATTTGTAAAAGAGATTACTAGGTCAGAGTCTGGGGTTGTGTGTGTGTTTAAGGCTCTTGAACATCACCAAACCACCTTCCAGAATGTTGTAACAATTTATACTCATGGTGTATGAGCCAGCCTCACATTATGTCCTTGTTCATCATCTAGTGTTAGTATTGAAACAAAAAACCTTGCTTTAATTTGCATTAAGTTATTGTTCCCACAATAACTGGTGTATCTACCTTCTTACTGTAAGCTGCTTCAAGGAGAATATATTTCATATTTGACATGTTGCAAATCACAAAGTGGGTGCTCAATGAATACTTGCCAGTTGGCCTATTAATATTTACCTTTTTGACCTCTGGAAGATCAGGAAATGATGTCTTGCTTTTTTGTCTTAGTTTACCAGTATGTTGTTGGCAGTATACTGTTATTGTTTGATTCATTACTTTGAGTACTTCTCCCTTCAGATAGGGGCCTCACTGATCTCACAGTTGTCTCCTAAAAAGGTCCAGTGACTTCTCATGTTCAACTCCTGCATCATCCAAAGTTCTATCCAGTTTTTTTATCATGATAAACTATTTCATTTCCTTTATTCATTTATCTAGTATGGAATTCACTTACAGATTTCACTTTGATCATTCTAGTTTCACGGTAGCCTTTTCTGTGTTTTATTTATTTATTTATTTTTTGGTGTTTTTTATTTTTAAAGCCTACTATCTAAAGTTCCTTTATTTCATTATTCACATTGTTCCATGTATTACTGCCTATAACACCTTTTACTGCCTTTAATCTACCACATAAACCTTATATTTCATCTGTAATTTTTATTTTCATTTATTTGGTTATTTTCCTCTCATGTCCTTTTGCATTGGTCTGTACAGTTTTAGATCGTAAAGGAGGCAGAAAGCTGTTTCTTTCGGGTTTAGAATTGTGTTCAGGATTGTTTACCAGTTGGGTTTCACAAGTTATAAACTGCAAGGAGTGGGGCTGCTTGCAACAGAAGTGCCAGGTCGTAGAGAACTTAGAGACCAGTTTACTGACTTTAAAGCATATCATTATACACCTCTATCCTAAAAGTCCTGACTGCATTATGGGACTATAAGGGAATACTGTACATAAGGATGACCCTGAATCATCAGTACAGTCTTACATTACTTTCTGTATGTTCAATTTCAAAAGGCAAGGAAGGTGTGTCATTTCCACAAGATTTCTGTTTGTTTTTCCTTTTAGATGTTGTCTTAAGAGAGATTTCAGTGAACTGGGCTCCTTATTGCATGTAGGATAAATAATCAGCAAATGTTAATAAAAATGGTAATATTGTACTTGCCTGTGGACAGTCTATAATGAAAATCTCAAGACAATAATGAAAGTCTTCAATACTTGATATGTTTAGGATTTTAGAAGCACATTTTATTTCTATATGGATGTGACAGTTCTCTAAGAATTGCAGAATTGGGAGAAAAGGCATTCATTTATAATATTGAGGTTTTGTTAACGTTTGTAATGAACTTTGTATTTATTGTCTGGTTTTGGTCCTAGAAGACCAAGAATTCTCAAGCATGTTTTTCAAAGTAATTTTTAAAAAGTTTTATGTGTAGATCATTAATCAGTGTTTAACGACATGAAATTGGAGCAAATATGATAATACACTTCTAAATGTAAATTTCTGGATCCAAGCAGATGTACACGCACACAAAAAAAACAACTCTTCATTTATATTCCTATGAGTCATGCACTTATAACTGAGTAGTAATAATTCTGCTTGAAGTATGATCTGTTTGATGTATTATGTGGCCACCCAAGTGGCTTTATCTTTAATTAAATTCCTTTAGTCTTCAAAGAGAATTCCTTTTTAGGGATAGTTTTCAAAGTGGAAGAAGTTCTTGCTGTAAACATTGCTGAGTACAAAGTACTGAGCCAACTGTACCCTGGTCATGCCAATTACTGCAGTGTTTGCTGCTGTAAATTGAGAATGCCCACATTTAAGAAATCTTGAAAACATGACACTGTATTTTGTATTTATACCTTCCATTAATTCCTATATTTTTGAGGAGTAAAATTAATACCAGTGTAAACTCTTTCTCATTACTATCGTTTTAATTAGATTTTTCTTTATGAGTTACAAATTAAAATTTTTGAATCTTATATTTTAGTAATGTTTGAAAGAACTTTTCATACTTTGCTAAGAGAATTTGTCTTTTTTTCCTATTCTTTCTCTGACTGTTATTCTAATGGATCAGCTGTCTGAAACACATTTAAGTTGTTACTGTGGAAGTAATTTAATATTTGTCCCTACTTCAGGCTTTTCCCCTTTCTCAAAATGCCATTGGTAGTTTTTACTGTCTAAAACTTAAGGATGAATCTGCCTTATTTGTGATAATGTAATTCCTAGTTCGTGTTACTACATTTAAGATAACTGGGATTATCCAGATTCCAGTCAAAATAGTAAATTTAATGTTCAGGGTGGATTTGAATAGGGTATTGTCCATGGACTATATGGAATATACATACATGTGCTAGAATATAAATCATAGTTAAAATCTGGAGCAGTACTTTAGGGGGTGGAAAATCAGATTTGGCCTTTAATTTTTAATGTTCATTTTCAGGAGGAAGGGTGGTTTTTATCTAAATTATCTAGATTATCAGTTTCATTTGTGAAGATAGACTAGATTAGCAAACTTTTATTTTTTTTCTTAGAAAAGTAGAAATGCCAAAAATTATTTGGTATATATGATCTATATATTGTAAAGACCTGATCTAAGTGTTGGGATCAACTCAGAAATTATTGACATCATAATTATCTCACTATGTACGTGCAATTTTTGAGGGATGACATAATATTTATTATATCTCATGATGTCTACAGGACCATTTTATATTTAATTAATGCTAAATTCATAAATATGTATGATTTATAAAAAAAGATTATGTCACTAATGGAAACATT